CCCCCCCCCCCCCCGCCTCATCCCACCTTAGTCATTGCGCTAGGTTGTGGCGCTTAATTCTCTACTTTTTGTTTTCTCAAAACGTTAGATTATGAACAGCAGATTAGCCATAATGTGTTTATATGCCTGACACAATGCCAAATTGATAATTACCTTTAAGAATAACCAATACTACCTGGAAGAGATATATGACTAATATACAGTACACTACTACCCCTCCTACAGCTCTCTGTACAGAATGTGTAGCACAGTGTTGGTGTCACTCCTACTTTTATATGGTGAAATCAGGGTGTGAAAAGGTGGTTGGTGCACACAAAGTGGATTTACATTCTCTGGGGCTGTTAAGAAATACATTTAAATGTTGTTCCTGGAGTTCAGTTTTAAGTATTTTTCCACTGAAGCGGTCTCTGATGCAAAGTGTGAAGATTTGATGTTACAAATTACATACAGAGCAACACCATCTTATACATGTGGGTCCTTCAATATCTCTTGTAGGTGAGGATCGTGAACCATGTAGATCTTTTTTTTAGAACTGCAAAGCACAAAGTTCAAAAGACTTAAATCTTAGGATACATACACAAGGATAGCAGAACCAGTTGTCAGGCCGTGCGTTTGACAGATAGAAGCAGTTTTTGCAGAGCTGCAGCTCATCCAGCTGAAATCAGAAGATATTTAAGCCCATCATAATACAGTATGCTTTCAAATCACAATGACATTGCAAAGATAATATGAGAATCTATGGTTTTCAATAAAACATTTCACAATGTGGACCGTCATCTTTGGTTGTAGTTCTGCCCTCTAGTGTTCATTTTCCACACAGCTGACATAAAGAAAATGAAAACCAATAAATGAGTTGGAACACTAATGCCATCTTATCACTTATGAGAACCCATTCATGTTATGACAGAGATTTTTGTTTTCTAAAACGAACAGAAAACTAAGAATTAACTGATGTGGTGAAATAAAAATTGCAATTATACACTGGAGCCAGTTAGTTATGTCTTCAAAGTAAGGCAAACACAGCAAATCTTGCATACTGAAATACAGTATAAGATATTTCAGGCAATGCTGCAATTTATAGATGCACAAAGCTGAAAAATCGCCCTGTTCAATAAAGCCGTCTGTACAGTGTATATTGTGTAGTTAGCCAATAGCACAACATTTACCAAAATGTTCATAACAAGTGGGTCAATTTTAAACCAACTACTTAAACAACATTTCCAACTAAGATAAAAGAAAACAAGGATTTAATTGAGATCACACTTTACTTTTACCTAGACAGACCTCAGCTCCTTGCAATTAATAGTAACAACAAACAATTCTTAACTGGAAATATAGTATCTAGTAATATACAACATGTAATGTACTTTAGTATATAATAAAGTATATTAAATTTGCACAAAAATACACATACGTTAAAAAAATATATATATATCTAGATACTGTATATATATATATATACACACACACACACACACATACATATACACATACACACACCTCAAATCTTTTATAACCATAATTCCACTAGACTAAATCCCCCCCATTAGGTTTTATAGGTAAATAAAGAGCAACATTGACAGCTTTGTCCTAAAAGCGTGTCCTACTGGTAGGAGTTCTCTTGCTCTCTTCCTTATATCAGGCTGCAGGCTGGACACCTAAGTCAAGCTCTAATCCCTAAATTGGAACTCTGTGACACAAGCTTGACTACCATAGAGTTTGAAGGTATCCACAGCAATCAATGATAACTATTAAAAGATAAGTGTGCTTTCAATTAAAATACTCCAATCCTACTTGGCTAACCAACCTGATCAAAAGTATCCCACACCCCAGATGCCCCTGGAACTTTTTTGCTGCTGACTATGCCTGCACAATGGATCTCCCCAGAAGGTCTCCAGCCAGATGAATTGCACCACTGAAGTCTGTGAAGACCCACTGAGGAGGTGTAGCCAATAGCAAAAGATTTTGTCAGTGGGATGTCAATTGCAGAAGGCTGTGGCTAAGATTAAAGGAGAACTATGAGATGAGTGATTTTCACTCACCTCATAGTTCTAGCCGACCTGTCACAATGAGACTGTCACAGGTCGGCTCAGTAGATCGGGAGGTGAGCGAACACATACCAGGTTCGCTCACCTCTCGATCCTGTCACGGCTCTCTGCCGTGACAGGGGGAGGGGCTGGATTCCCCTCTCCGATCTGCCAGCGCTGACTGGCGGAACGGGTACAGCTGGCTCTGCCTCTAGATAGGCAGAGCCAGCTGTCACTCACCCAGCTGGGCGGATCCCGTCATCTACGTCGGGATCCGCTCCCGCTGCGGCGTCTCAGTATACCGCAAGCTGTAGCTCGCGGTATACTGAGCTTAGGGTAACGGGAGGACGCTAGTTTGTGTCCTCCCGTCACCCTAAGGAGAACTATGGGGAAAAACACTGACCCCATAGTTCCCCTTTAAGGTAAGTTTGCATCTAGGGCAGTGGTTCTCAACCTGTATAACCTCAGGACCCACTTTTGTCAAGGTTAATTAAGTTGTGATCCAAGGCATACTGCAATGGAACGCAGAGCATTAGGGTACCACACGTTCTGGTGCGGGTGTACGAACTGTGGGTGGGAGGTGCATTTGGGGTACCATTCAAATGAATGGCAATGCAACAGGCCTCCCACTTCACTAGTGTGAATGGGCATTCAAAAACACTGACATACACACACAACTACAGGCATTCTCACACACATACACACTCTCCAAAAAATTGTAATTTTTTTTTTTAAGGTCCTAGCAGTCTCCTTACCATAGGAGAACTGGAGTGGCTCCTCAGCCTGGGGTCCAGTGTGGGATGCAGTGCTGTGATGGAGCTCCATCCATATGTGTATTGCTGGTACCGGTCCCTTGCGGGCCCTGTAGAGGTGCTGGCAGCCAGAATGTGATGTCACTTAGGTCCAGGCACCTCTACAGGACATGCGAGGGAGCTGTAAGCAATGCATGTATGGATGGAGCTGCCTCGCGGCCATAGCTCCTGCCCACCCAACCTCAAACTGACACTCACACCGGGCAGCATATTTTGAATGGCTGCTTGGCGTGAGAAATGACAGTGCTGCACTGGGGGATGGCTGAGAAAGCCTCTCACCTAGAAAAGTTAAAGGCACGTGGCGACCCACTGAACATGGGGTCGCAACCCACTTTTGGGTCACGACCCACCAGTTGAGAACCAATGATCTAGGGCATAGAAGGAATAGAAAGGCAGGATAAGAGTACTTTCGGTGGAAATACCCTTATCCTTTAATCTTTAGCTTTTTTTCCACAAGGTTTTCTCTACAAGTATAATATATTACACGGGATTTATATAGTGTAAACAGTTTGGACAGCACATTAGAATATAAGGAAGACATTAGTCAAAATACAATTCAAAACAAGATGGTTAGGAGTGTCCTCCTCCTCCTCTATGAAGAAAGCAGCAACATAGAAGCTTGTCACAACAGATACCAGAGAGTGAGCATGAAAGGTAAATAACAGTATTAAAAACAAAAAAATAGTGTTCCCAGAAAAGTATAATTATTCTATAACTAAAGTAAATGTGAGTGCTGTATAAAACTTACCTCATGGCATGTGTCCTTGTACAGAACCTTGGCAACATCAGTCTGCTCACTGTCATCTGTAACAATTACAGCACAGCAAATGAGTTGGAGCAGAATTCTGCTCTCATCAATACATGCAATGATTGATTACTAACCCTCTACATGCAACGTGTGTTAAACTGCCTTGAAAAAAGACTTTTAGTCACAAACATTTGGTTATACGTGACTAATGAGATAACCCTCTATGGTGACCACAGGTGCCATATGCTGGCCTCTGGACGCATCCAAAATGTCTTACTAGCCATCCATAGTGAATGTAGGTGATGTTTAACTTCAAATACTCCTATATTTTGCCCAGGGAAGCAACAAGTTAACTTTAATGTTAGCCTAAGCAGCAGCAGATACTCACTCACACTCCCCCTCCACTTGGAACCCTTGGGTGAAAAGGACTGCTCAATGTTTTGCTTGAGGTGGCCCAGCAGAGAGATTGAAGGGAATGTAAATGTAAGCATTTGGTGGGGGTGACATTAAAATGAACCATTTTTTTCTGCATAGACAGTGGATAGGATTACTTGAAATAAACAGGATACAATTCAACAATTATGCTTTTGCACTTTCACAACCAGTCCAATAGGCCCAGCAGCATTTAAGAAGTTTACATTTTTTCCTATTAACTAGTTTATGTCGAAGGCCTGCATGTACCTTCCTGATGGAATCATTGCAGAATCAAAGCATCAGTTTTTTTTTTTTTATTAAACATTAAAACAATCAAACTGAAGCAGGAATTTAAAAATCAAGATACAATCGTATTGCAAAAACTCTCATTGCCATGGGACCTATTCACACCACAACGCAGTGCGCTGAAACGCCTGCTGCATTATGCAGAACTTTTAAAATGAAAGAGCTCGAATGCATCACATCAAACAAAAAATGGTTTAGGCCACCGTTTACTGCAGCACACGTGTGTTGGACACACAGGACACTGTGTGTTGTGCCGCACTGCAATGCGTGCAGGACATTTGTGCACAGGGGTGCTATTCCCAATGATTGGCACCACAGTGCAGTAATGCTATTACCACACCACAGGTGGCGTGAATGGGCCTTACAATGGAACAGAAATGCTGTCATTTTATTGTAAAGACCTAATTTTATGTAACGCTGCTTTGTAAATTGATCACTGTGAACCAATAGGGATTGGAAGCTGGGGGTTAATGAGCTTTGGGTCTATTTCCTACACCGTTACGGTGGCTAAAAGTGCATGTGCATGCATGAAGACCCGCCATTATAACATGAAAAATAAATGCAAAAGAAGATACATGTCATAACATGGGAAAGCACAAGCATGTTAGGTTTACTAACTCCGGATCAGATTGCAGTAACACTTTTATGAGTGCACGCCCCACACCCCCTCCCAGTCTTTCACTAACCTGTCTTCCTGGTTGGGCCTGCACAGGCATTTTGCAATCCCATTCATTGTGGAATCCATGAGATTGCAGAGCAAGTTATATCTAAGCAGTGATATTTTGCATAATTGGGGACAGAGGAGTGTAAGACTACAATATAAAAGTGTAAGAGGAAGAAAAAAAAAGGATTGGCACAGGAAAGGAAAGAAGGAATTCAAAATCACCTCCATAAAAGATAATGGTGTTGTGCAGAAGAAGCTGAGCGTCTGCCTTGAACTCCTCATAACTCTTGTACTTTCCTTCGCTCACTTTCTGCACAAAACACAGAGAAGCCGTCAGGTTAAAGATTTGCTGAAAGTAAACTGTCACCATTTCCCGTCTTGTACGATATATTATTATGTCATTTCAAATGAACAAACTACTCCACTCTACTGGTCAAAATACTTTTATGATTACTAGAACATTATAAACCTTTCACAGAACCTACATTTGTAAAGCATTACCTACAAAATGTACACTTTATTAACTGATTCCACTGACATGGGTAAATTATCACCAATTGGGATTGTTCAGCGGGTTTTTTTTTCTTGTAATATTATTATTATTATACAGGATTTATATAGCGACAGCAGTTTGCAAAGCGCTTTACAATATAAGGAAGACATTACAATCACAATACAATTTAAGACAAGATGCTAAGGAGGGCCCTGCCCCTGAGGGTTTACAGTCTAAAAGGGAGGGAGAAGTGATACATGAGGAGGTAGCTGTGTGGGGATTAACTGTTTGAGAACGTGATGGATGACTGGTTAGGTTGAGGTGGGGTAGGCTTCCCTGGAGAGATGAGTCTTTAGGGGTCGCTTAAAGGCAGTCAAGGTGGGAGATAGACGGACAGGTTGGGGTAAAGAGTTCCAAAGGATGGGAGAGACTCTAGAGAAGTCCTGGAGGCGAGCATGGGAGGAGTTGAAGAGGAAGCTGGAAAGCAGGAGGTCTTGGGAGGAGCGGAGGGGACAGTTAGGGTGATATTTTGAGACAAGGTTTGAGATATATCCGGGGGCAGAGTTGTGGATATAATAATGTTGGATATAATGGATAATAATAATGATGTTAATGATAATAATAATGTTGGATATAATAAGAGTTGTGTAATAATATCTGTATTCCAGCAACAGCGCATACTGATTACACTACAACGTTAACAACACAACGACTGGTAAAGGAGACCCTACCTCATTAATAGTGGAAACATCAATGGCTGTATGAACCAGTCTTCTGTACATGGGGTGTTTTGTATCCTTCCCCTTCTTGTTGAGTTCAATTGCCTACAAAGGTATAATGATTGGTATGAAAGTTAATGTTGACCTTTTTTTACTACTATAACAGCACTACACGATCTAATGCATTGTATGAACTCTGTTTGGGGTCAGTGATGTGGATCCTGCAAAAACTTTACAAATGATGACAGGTGCAATCTAGCATGTGCAATGTTCTTAAACGGATAATTCTGTAAAGACCCTTCTCTGTAGACTGTACAAAAGCAGTCTCTGCTGTGCCTTATCCAAAGAGATCGTGTGTTTCCCTGCAGCCTCCTCCTGTAGTCAGCTTACATTTTACTATTCTGATGGGAAACCTCTCCCAGCTGCTGAGACTGGACGATCCTTTTTGGGGAGCAGGCTGCTAATAGAAGGCAGAAAAGGCTGCAAGCCATTGTGGTAAACGGAACAAGGAGAGCTAAGAGACTTGTACAATAAATACAATTATACTTTAAAGGGAAACTGAGGGTCACCACACAAATTACAATCTGGCCATACAATCTCTGTCCAATCAACTTTAGATCTACCAAAACTATGGAATATGGCGACCTACTTAATCGATCCAATCAATCTGTATACAATCAGGTAGGCCCTAGTACTACACACTTGTTGGTAGATCTCAAGGAAATTGTACAAATCAGATTGTAACGTGTGTGGTGTGCCTAAATGTGTGCAAGTTTCAGAAACCGATCAGAGCTTCACATACATAGGAAGGGTATGTGGGAGCGTGTGGACTGATATTTTACAACATACCCCATAATCACACATTTAGATTTCTCTAAAGTTCCTTGGTTTATGAATCCGCCAAAACCATTACATTTCTAGCTGACAATGAAGCCAATAACAAATAAATATTTCTATTAAAAGGTCTAATTTTCATTGTAGTATTAACCTTATGTACTGTATGTGGGCGTCCCGCTAACTAAATTGTTATTGCTGGTATCTCAATCATCTGAATGGCTCTAAATCTGAATCTCTACTGCCTCTAACAAGGGAGCAAAAGAGATTGCATAGAAGAGAATCCTATGACAAGAGCCTGTGGTCCCATCCAGAAGCAATTATGAGTAGAAGGTTGCCTATAAGGCGGGTTCACACAGTTTTCCGGACCAGATCTAGAACGAGGTGCGTTGTGTTTTGCTGTGTTTTTACCGCGATTTAGCTGCGTTCCAGAGTGGTGGTTTTTTTTTAGCTTAGAATGGGCTTTCAGGTGTGGTCCAGTGTGTTTGTATGCATTTTTATGTGTATCCTTGTGTTCCAGTGCATTCCAGACCAGAGAAAATAAGACAAGCAGTATTCTTTTGGTCTGGTCCGGAACGGACTGCGCCGGTGTGAACAAAACCCAGAAATACCATAGGGATACATTGGGATGCTTTGCTTTTGGAACAAACTGTTCTGGTCTGACATGATCTGGATATAGTGTGAACAAGCTCTCAAGAAAACCAAATTCATCTTATGATCTTGCACAGTGACTGTGTTTACTGGATTACACTGACACTTTATTGATGGCTTTCACTTGTTGCCCAGCTGACCTGAGAACACATCTGTACCATGCCTACCTAAGCTGCCCATAGACATAAGCTGACCAAGAGTATTCCAATCTGCCTCAATCGCCAGACTGATTACCAACATTATGTGCGGTGTTCAGGTGTGTATATACACATTAATGGTCACACAATGAGAATGTTCATGTTAGAGGGTGGTTGGGCATGCAGCCCTTGGACATCTGTGTTAGTCCCTGATATGTATGGTAACAGTCATTGTTGAAAGTATCCCAGTCATTCAACCTTATATAGTTTTCTTTTAAAAGAAATGAGAACTACTGTAACTAAGAGTGCAGTAACCTGAAATGATTTCCATTCACTGCAGTGACAGGAGTGATAAATTAGAACTGATGGATTGCAAGGCCAAAAACACTTATCCATTACGTATGTATGTGGACTGACACAAACATTTGTAAAGCTGCAGATCTTTAGCTTGGCATTTAGACCAATGCAATAATCAATAAAAATAAAAGGCATAGAGAAACAACACAAGAACATAAGGGGGAGAATCTACATCAGCTAAATGTGGTTACCAGAAGCACAACGCAACACTGTGGGTTTCACTGAACTAAAGAAGTAAAAACGTACCCTCTCCTTCATACGAGACACAATGAATCGCAGGTATTTCCCCATCTCCTGTTTGTTTAAGTGCTTTTTCTTAATGCTCTGGAACATAAAAATATCACCATTGTTATCAATATCTTTCTCATCTGTAATTTCACTACATTACTGTACAGCAGAAATTTACATTTCTTACAAGGAAATATTGCTACTTTGCATACATTGTCTTTGAGTACCTGCAGTACCACAGATTAGCATTAAACATAACTATATGAAGTATATGTAAACAGATTCCAAATAAACGCATTCTCCACAATGAGTATATAACAGAGATGGACACCTCCATGCAATGCCATGGAGGTCTGTCTCATTGGGACGTATTGTTACTTAGCTCCACAATATTGAGCTAGAGGCAGAACAGCCGTCGTTAGTGTGGCCAAACCATGACAAATAGTATCAGAATACCATCGGGAACAAGAACAGGGCACTAAAGTTCACTTAAAAGTTAGTATCAAATGAAATGCTGTTAAGACGGCCAACAGAGGGAGATGTCACACTCGATTGTTTCACATTTAGCACATTTTTAAACTATGCTTAAAGGGAACGTGTTACGATAATAACATGGGAGCTACCACTGCTGACTTGTTTTTATAGGTACAAGATTTGTGGCTTTTTTTCTGATCCTGGCTTCACTGACCACTTAGTCACTGAACTGCCACAAGCATTCAAGACATTCAGACCTCACTGGATGCATGTATGTTGGGACTGTGTTAAAGGGGAGCAGCACTTACCAACGGGTTTAACTGGGACAACAGGTACCTCCTGAGTCTCACGTTTTGTTTTCATTTTCTTTCATGTCGATCGAGAAGCCCATAAAGTCCCAATGAAGTCTTACAGGAAATCACCCCCATGATTTCAGGGTGCAGTAAAATGAGAGCTTTATAAGATCTTAGCTGTCATACAGCTATGTATGCACAGATCACTGCCACTAGCTTGCAGCTTGGGACCTCTGCTCCCTCAGATTCAGTGGCTCCCCTTCCCGGGGAATCTCTGTCTGCTGAAGAGAGATCAAGGCTCTCACAGAGAGAACAGAAGTCATCAGTTGCAAGATACTGGCAGGGACTGGTATAAGTGACACTGCAGTGTCTGTACACAGAATTGACAGCTCAGATATTAGAAAGACGTTAACTGGGCTTTTAACCTGGGAGCTCAATTGTACAAAATGTCAGCACTGGGAAGGAGGAAGCGCACCTCCTTCTGCCTCCAATTATTGGTCAATGAGGACCGCTAGTAGCCAACTGTGAGGTGTGGAAGGCAGATGGAACAGGCTAGTTCTCAGCATTTCTTCCCAGTGTCAATATTTGCATAGTACAGAGACTTCGGTTTGGAACTACTAGGGGAACTGTAAAGGAAATCTAAAGCTGCGAGCCTTCCATTCACTCCCAGAGGTAGTATACGTGTGTAGAGGTAAACAAGGGTTTACTTTAATAAGATGTCTCAGAGAAACATGGAGACTTCAACCTCCGTCTACCATTCAGCGATTCTATTTGCCTGCCTGTTGTACTAACCATCTTTCTTTTTAAAAAAACCGGGAACAGATATGCAGATAATGGTTTTCAAGCTTAAACTTCCTGATCCTGAATCCTGATCCTGAATGAGTGCTCATTCCAGGTCACTGACTTTTGTGGTATTAAAGACAGTAGTTCAGAAGAACAGCCAACTAACTAGCATTTTTCAGAGGCGGTCAGCAATGGCAGCCCCCTATATATTTTTCAGGAAAGGTTTACTTTAAAGAAGAACTCCAGAATGTATTCAAATGAACCCTTGCAGAGGGGCTACCCCAGCACTGCAAAGGTTAAGTGCTCGTTTTGCTCTAGGGACGAAAATTTTAAAAAATATACTCGCCTGATCCTCTGTCCCCTCGGGCTTCGGGGGTCTAAGGACCCGTGACATCATCACATCTAATGCAGATCCATTAGACGTGAGGATGCCGAGTAACATACCACAGCCAGAGCGGAGGTGGGGAGAGAGCGGTGGCCACTGCCACAGGACCGAGGATCAGGTAAGTATCCTTTTTATTTTTATCCCTAGAACAAAATGAGCAAAGGTTAATTAACCCCTCCCCCCCCCAAAAAAAAAAAACAACAACAACCTGGAATTCTTCTTTAAGCCTGGAACATAAAAAACTGATAAGACGTATCCTGTGTACTGCTGAACGATGCTGAAACTCTCGGTTTTAATGTCTTGCTTCTTACGCTTGGTGTTCAGTTCATTTGAGGTACTTGTCACAGATCCTTACATGAACCCTGCTGGAAATGTTCAGCCAGAGCTGCATGTAAGGAATTACTGAAAGAACTTTCCTGGTTGTAAATATTTTCCCAGGTACTTTAATAAACATTGATCACAAAGGAGATAATGTGAACTGTAAGGAAATCCCCAACAATACAGTGAATACTATTTAGAGAAACCGCTAAACCGTTCTGCAGTGTTTCAGCCAGCAAAGCTGCTCTGTTCTTTCCGCTGACCTTAAAGATGAACTCCAGGAAAACATCTTCTCAACCCTTCCAGTGGGGCTTGTTTTCGTCTATGTGCAAAATTGACAAGGTTATACTCATAAGAACCTCGAAGCCAGCTGCCTGTTAGAGCGCTCCCTCCAGCTGGTCTTTTCCTCCGCTCCAGCAATCCAATATCTCTTTGCGTTGTCACATCCAATACGCTGTATAGGATGTGATGACTCACAAGACCTTAGGCCGCTGGAATGGAGGGGGAAAGAGGCTGGAAGGATCAGTCTAATAGCCAGCTGGCTTTGAGGATCGGTTGAGTATACCTGTTTCTATTTTCACACGAAAAACGGGCACTTAACCCTTGCAGTGTGGAGTTCTTCTTTAATAATGTGGTAAGAGTTTACAACTAGCACACTGCTGAAGTGTAGTTTTGCAGTTATATGTGAATAACAGAATATAAATCAGTATGTTTAGCAGCAATAGCAAATCTATATGATAAAACATCAACACTTTAACTGAAAAGTCCTGACTGATGCTACATCTATGAAGTCATACTAGTGGACAGCGCTTTTTCCACACAGCAACACAAATAAATAAAGCATCATGTGAACTAATCCTTTCTTCTGGTTCATACTTGCTCTGATTTGTACATGAAATACATTATGTTTAACTCTTGAACATGTACCTGACTATACACCGTAAATGTTTTGCACAGGGTTGCCTGTGTCTAAAGTTACACTGAAGTTATGTTATATGGCCAGGGGAAATTTGACCCTGTCACTAAATCCAAATCCTCCACCGGATGACTGTGAATACTCACCTTTCCCGCTGTCTGCACACTGCCAGAATGCTGTGCTTTTCACAAAAATTGTCATGCCAAGTCTACAGGGAAAACAACACTTCCAGAAGTTCTTGATCTCCCGTGCCCCAAGCAGCACTCACTGGTTCTTCCTGCTGATCTCCACGCATTACAGAACACAGTATTGATATGGAGTAGGGATGCACCGATACCAAGTACCATACTCAGTACAAGTACAGATACTTTTGAGCTCCAAGACTAGGCTAGAGAAAAATTCAAAAGTTAGGAGGCAGCTGTCATTTGTAAGGAGCACACGGAGCTCCTGGGATTTGTACATCTCTGTTTTAATGTATGATTTTGTTTTTATAAATATAAAGGGATGTACCGATACCATTTTTGCAAGTACAAGTATTGATACTTGCCCAAGTACTCACCAGTACGAGTACCAATACATTTTTGTTTATTGTCATGTGACAATACAGACTAATGATTTCAGGACAGTGGTGGAGCGCCAGAGCCCGGTCCCAGCTGCAACCGCTGCAAACGTGGTAGTTCGGGGTGGGGGGGGATACAAGAGATGGACACACTTGGAAGTGTCATTTTCCTGCAGACTTCACATTAAGAATTCTTGTGAACGGAGTGGCTGCTGGAAATCAAGTCTTCTTTGACAACTATAGTTGTTTAAATGTTTTGGATTTAAGGACCGGGTCGCTTTAAGGATCATTGTATTATGAGAATCATTGCTTTACATTGTAGTTCGTGAACTTATGTGATCTTAAACATTCAATACTATAAATTAGACAACCAATGCAATGAAAATATTTAAGTGGTCTTACCTTGCACACCGGACACTGCCAGTGATTACTGCTATCCCTGAGTTTCATATCATCAGGTAAACACTTAGGGTGGTATACACGAAAACATTGGTCACATATCATCACCTCTCCAGGTAAATGACATTCAAAACAGTACCAGTCATGAGTTTCAGGCTCCCAGTCCTAGGAGAAATATAATGTTATTTGGAGACGGGGCAGATTCACAAAGTCTGTTTAAAAGGTTAAGCAGCAAAGTCAATATTTCCAGTAGACATTAGCAAAACCAGGTGCATGGCATTCATAAATTAGAAATCTACCCTCTCAGGGGGGAAAGAGCCTGCAATGTGTTGCTTTTGCAATTCTGGACAAAAATGGCAATGACTGCCCACTCAGATTACAAGGTCTATATTATTTACATGTTGTGTGATTACAAGTGCACAGCAAATATCACACTTTTTACATTTTGATTAGGGAGAGGGGAGACCAGTTTATTCAATTGTAAACCATGACACCCGAAATTTGCCAAAAGTAGAAGAAAAATACATTACGCTAGATGAAGGCTGTTTTATTTAATGCAAGCCTGTCATATATACTAAGGATCAAACCTACCCCTTCACCCTGTGCTAGGCACCATGCAATGCCTAAACTTAACTTTAGCACTGCTACTGCCTGTAAAATGTCAAAATGACAATACAGACAACACCCAGTATTGTCAACAAAGGAGAAAAAAAAATAATGTACACTTCTTCAGAAAAAGAAATGTGGATTTAGAATTTTTTTGCATTGCAGCCAGTAATGCATTGCAACCGCAAACAGTGGATCACGGGTGCAATGCTCTGGCTCCTGCAGACTCTAGGTCCTGTCCATACCTCGGTAACATTTAGGGGGTTATTCACAAGGGGGGGGTGAGTTTGAAGAAGGCTGGAGAAGTGAACAATCTAGGACAAATTAGCGGATTTGGAAAGATTCTCCAATTCAGCTCACTTTCCAGTACAGCTATGTTGGCCTAGATTGTTCACTTCTCCTGCCTTCTCCAAACTCTTCACCCTTTTGTGAATAACCCCTTTAGTAACATGGACAGGAGGAAAAATTAACAGACAACAAGTGTGTGCAGGTGCACCAAACTAAAAAATGAACACAAGCGTGTGGGAAGAAAAAGCCCAGAATTCAGGTTAGTGGGGGAGGGGGTGTCGGTTTGTGAGGTGACCATGTTTCACTTTATACCCGGAAAATGGATGTAACATGAAACATGGTCAGAAAGGTAAACTTACCATTTATATTTCTCACCCTGGAGAGGCTGGAACATGGCAACTGGTTAGTTAGGCTCCAAGATCTGCACTGTGGGATAGCAGGGGTCAAGACACAGATCAGGATTTTGAGAGAGCACAGAAGATTGGCACTAAAGGTAAGTTTAGGCAGAGGAGGGCGTCTAGTACACAGTGGGGCGGTAGCTTCAGTTTTCCTTTATAACATAGGTGTGATTTAATACTGAAACGCAGGGGGGTGATTGTAGATCTATGTGAAGATTTACTGTAATATATAGAAAGTTTGATTGTGGGTACGTCGTACCTTTTGCCCTGAATTCCTTCTGAGAAACAGTAGCACTTCCAGACATGTGACAATGCCTAAGCACTCCTGCTTCTGTAGCCTCTGCTGTGTGAGACTAAGTCAGATCCCACTCATTCCTGCCTCTGATGTATGCTATTGGAGATTTGAAGTGTCCAAGCACTGAAGTAAGAATTGGTAAAGTCACTAAGACTACCTGAGAACCTGCTGTGTCCTTCCTGCACCTACTTCATCCATTCTGTGGATCTGTGCTTTTTTGCACCTGCTGCTTCTAGATCATTTTCCTCATCAGGCATTAACTTATCAGATCAAGAGTTATCAGGGACAGCTCTGAAGTGAAGAAACAAAGCCTAATCCTCTACCAAGATGGTCTTCTTGACTTCTTTTTTGAGAGTCAGACACACCTAAGTACTGGAGAGGAGCAACTGAGCTACAACCAGGTACCCTCAGGAATTCTCTATCCTTCATGCAGTACGAGTCAAGTTATCTGTGAAAGATAAAGAACCTATAATAAGAATGGCTGCTCTTTTTTTTCCTAGATCCAATTTCTTATCCATTCCACAGTGATGTGTGGCTCCAAGGCAGCCACCATATTAGTGGAGGTAAAAACTATTACCAGGTAACTCCTTCCTAAAAGCTGTCTGTGATGACACCATCAGTGTAATCCAACACTTAAGGGCTGATGTATAACTGTTCCGCCCAGTGCATAGTTCCTATGCTCTTCGGCTTCACCTAGTGGTGGGAATGCTGTGTGAAGAGCATTCGCCCAGCTATACGCTAGGCAGAATGGTTATACATCAGCCCCTATGAAACAGGAGTGTGCAAGATGTACTCCTGATGATATTAAAGTCCTAAAAGGCACCTGTAAGGGTTGTGGAGGACAGAAAAGCATGTCTAGGCACTGTCACGTGTATAGGCTCTGCTGATTCTAAGTGGGAATTGTATTCTAAAGGTACTTTCTTTGTTACATTTATTGCAGCCAAGTACTTGAAAACAGATTTAACAACTGGAGTCAGAAACAGGTAACAAAGCAGCTGTATTATTCACCAACATATTAGTTTGGGTGGCCAGACATGGAAAAGGCCTTTCCCATAACATGCCACAAGAAAAAAAAAGAGGAAAACAGGACAAAAAAATATATATACAAGCAACTCATTACAGGCTCTACCTCTTCTGAAAGGTTACAGAATGCTGCAGTCTACAGTCTAGATGTTCTTAGGACCCTACTGTTATATTAGTGAGGGGAATTAACCGGGAGCTAATTTGATGTGGGTTTTTCCCCCACTAATTACCCCAAAGAGATCTTGCTTCCCACACTTTAGGAGTCTATTTATTTATGGACACTGTAGCCCCAATACTCCAACTATGGAAAATGACATAAGAAATTGTTGGTTTACATACTTGCAAAGCTTGATATCAAAGCACTTTAACAAACCTCAGGTGAATTCACTGACTTTCCCTCTCTTCCGTGAATTTGGTGATGTTTCATCTGCAATAATTTACAAGAGTTTTGTGCTAAACAGAACTGCCATATTCTAGAGGGATTGCAAAATAATTAGAGTCAAAAATATAACAGTAGTTAAAAGAAACTCTATCAAATCAGAGAGTTTCCTCATTGACAATGAGCCGTTCACAAACTCGAAGGTCCATTGCTTTTCAATAATAAACAGATGATTTAAGGATGGAACAGAATAGAGG